CTGAGTGAATGTCTGTGAAAGGGTAAATGTGGCACTAGTGTAAAAGCGCTTTGATTGGTCGGAAGACTAGAAAGGCGCTATACAAGTACAGGTCCATTTACCATTTACCAAATTGAACCTTATGGTGTGCCCCACTTTGGACAGCTCTGCCTGAGAATAATGGTTGTCAACCTTAATAGCCATCCTACACACAGTTTGCATTATGTGAAATAGCTCCAAACAATACTTCTCTTAATTCACCCACATGTGTTTGTGTCAGAGTTGGATTATTAGTCTGGAGCGCAAAGTAGTGCCCTATGGGGAGCTTGCACAGGCAGAAACTGATCCTGTTTTGGTATTGATTCTATTGACGATAAAATTGATCAACGTAGTAGCCTATCTGTAGTATCAATATTTTGGGATCAACCAATTGATTAGCAAATGAGGAAAAAAAATTTAATTAATTTTTAATGATTTGGTTATGGAAGATCACATTTTTAACCAGCTGATTTGGGCTTGTCAGTATATGAACAAGATGTCTACCAGCAGGGTCAAGAAGCTGCGGGTTGATGTACTTAAATGACAGCAGCATCTTCAGGCTGAAGTGGGAAAAAAACTGCTTAATGATTAGAAGGTGGAACAGTGATAATTTTTAGCTTTCTCTCCATCCTGCATCACAGCCTCTACTCTTCGCTCCTCACTGCTGCTGTGGTGCAGCTGTATGTGTGTGTCTGTGTTCACATGAAAAATGTATTTGATTTACATACTGCACACACACACACACACACACACAGAGAGAGAGAGAGAGAGAAAAGAGCATCACCGATGTCTCAGGAATATAGGAAGGGAAAGCTCCTCTATCTGTCTCTCTCTCATTAGGAACAATTACACTCAGCTGGCTTTGCAGCACACTTACAGTCAGTGAGATTTTTCAGAGTTTTGACACAGGGTGGCGATGTTACCTTTTACAGTATTCTAAGCAGCACACTTTATAATACTGAGCTCTATGTTGATGTAAATGTGGACATGGTTTTTTTTGGTTTGTTCTGTTCTGTGTTTTGCATATCATTTGTATGTACTGTGCAGGGACTTCAGCCTAAGCCATGGTGGAAATATGTATATGTATTTCATACTAACTCATATTAATAATTCAAGATCACTTTTTCCAATTTAATCCCAAAGTGTTTTTTCTATTGGTTTTAGATTATCATCATTTTTTATATCTTATCCTTTGTTACTGCTATCTTAGTTTGAGTTGTTTTCTGATTATGTAAATCAATCACTGCTCTCAACTTGTGAATGTGTCACACTTGGGGAGATGATAAAAATATGTTTCGTACCCTGAGGCACACTGCTTATATCATCTCAATGGCATTTTTCTTACTGTGGCTCTGTATTCCACCCTGAACATGGATTGAATATAGAGATTGTTTAATAGAAATTTGGATCGACCTTTCATAACTGCACTGGTACAGTTACGCAAGAACTATAAGGGACTTTGAACGGTTTAGTAATGATTCTGATCAAATTATATAGTTCATTGCTCATATAGCAGGTGACAAAATATTTTCTTTGTCCAAAGAGATTTAAGAAAATTTCAAGTCATTGTTTTTGACAACAAAATTGCTGCCTCATTTTCAATAATGTTCCAAGAAATACGGAATAACAAGATAATAATGCCTTTATGTAAGGGATCTCAAACTGCCAGCCTGGCCAATTCCAGCCCTCCATCCCCCTACCTCCAGCCTGCGAAATGATGTCAAAAATATAATATAATCCGACCTGCAAGATTATTGTATTTACTATTTTTTCTAGTTTGTTGTTTCATATCAATTTAAACTACCCCTTCATAAACAATTAAGATTAAAACACACAATTTTATTTTTAAAAATGTATTGTGTGTTTGCTTCAAAATAATGGCAAAGCTCAAAGGTGCCCGCAAATGTCTGCAAATGCTTAATAAGAAAATAACAGGTTTAGTTGTTTGATCTACACAAAGATGATCTAAAATTATCATATAAACATGTATAGAAATTGCTGTTTGCATTTTTTTTGTTAAGTATGATGTAAGTAATGGAAATATTTTCAGAATATTGCTTTTTCTTGTTGTACTTTTATGTTGACGAGGTCTTCCTATGGGATGGCAATGCTAGCAGTGGCAAGCCCAAGCTAATTTGAATTTGAGACCCCTGCCTTATGTGAATGTAAACTCTACAAACAAACATATTTTTAAATGGCCTATTTCTGAGGAATGTCTGGAGTTTGTGTGTTAGCAAAAAAGTGAACAGGCTACACTTCTGACTGGGTTTCAGTGGGTGAAGTTTCCACTGCTTGTTCCCAGTGCAGTCTTCCTCATTGAGGTATTTAGTATCAATGAGAGGTGTGTGTGGGTTCAGGAGCTTCTTGCTCGGTTTGACGGCTCTTCCAGCACGATGAGCTGTGTGATGTTCAGCCAGCAGTGTTGTGTTGGTGCAGCAGGCCTGCTCTGCCTCAGGGAGCAGTCTTTATTGTTTCTACGATTTACATTGGCTTACTGGTGATGAGCCAGCTTGGTCATGCTCATTTAATAAAATAAAAGACATAAACATAAATGTGGCTCTGAATTTTAGTATCAGACATGACTTGTCAGATGTGGAGTTATTCAATATTGATGTAATTCTTGGATACTAGGCTGCACCACCATTTGTCTCAACACTAGACAAATGTGTCATCCACTATCTTGCTATATCGTGCTTTGTTTATATTCTGCACAGAAATTATGTTTACACTCATTTTCTTTGTGATATTTAACAACATTCTGTTACTTCAAAATAACTTCCAATATGCCTGGTCTCTTCTCTGAAAATGAGACAACAGCTACACAATCGATATTTGTATGTTCTTTAATCCACTCTGATCGTGTTTGGCAGTGGAGATGTCTTTGTTAGGTGTGTGTTAGTGAAATGCAGATTACTGTGTCTTTCTTCAACTTGCTTCTTGTTCATTATTAACAATTCACTGTCATGGGGAACAAAAGACAGTTGTGCTTCCCAATCCATTTTGTAGTGTTATGTTTAGTATATAGTGTTTGTTGTTGTAATACCTATTTTGGCCACAAGAGGCTGAAGTGCAACCCTATCCATGTTCTAAATAGGAATTTTAACTTCTGCATGTACTCTAAACACAAGGTACATATATTGTATATATAATGCTTTTTATTTCACCTGTTTTTATTTAAAAAACAACAATGTTTTAGATTATACTTGAAAAATGGATCAACAGACTTTTTATTTTCTCATTTTGCCTCTCAGGGAATCTTTCTATGTTCTCAGAAATAATTCCAATATACTTTACAGCTTAGTCTCATCTCAAAACTGTGTGTCAGATTTTTGTTGGTGGTTCCCAGCTTTGGTTCTCAGCACCCACAGTGCTCTTGGTGTCCATGTTATGGTTGTCCATACTTCCATATATTTAATTACATTCATATGGAGTCCCAGGTCTATGTCTGTCACTGCTAGATGACCAGAATTAAAACAGCACTCACAGGGTCCTGAGGACTGAAGTTGAGGACCACTGTATAAGTAGATATCAAAGTGTGTTGGATAATTGTCTTGTTCCTCTGTATCTCCAGCCATTCCACTGGGACTGATTGTGGTTCCTGGTGACAGCGACTTAGAAACCTGCAGAGAACACATCCAGCGTTTGCAAGAGGTAAGAAGTGGGGACGGTGGTGGGGTGTCAAGTTGTATTATGAGTTCCATATATGTGGCTGGTACTGTGGGAAGGGCTTGACTCACTCTGACTGGTTAAGCAAGTACATGCAAATTCCACTGTGCTGCTTCACAATTTGAGTTGTCAAGCCTATAGACTGCTCTTCTCTCTATTCTCCTATGCTTCCACTTTCCTTTCTAGGACTTCTGCTCTGTCCATCACTCCTTCAAATGCATGGGAACGCAGGTTGGTAGTTTGCTGCCAAAGTTTGTATTGTGGTTTTGTTTGGCTCAGAGGCACACGGGAAAAGAATATTAAACATTTTATCTGAAAATCTTACAGGCCTTGATTATCAGTCAGTTATTTCCTGTATGTTTCATTAACAATGAGTACAAACAAGCAAGCAGCACTTACTGAAAAATCATATCACACACACACACACACAGGAAGTATTTTGGCTGCCACCAGAATTAAATGTAATGTGTCAGTGGAAGAAAGCTAATGTAAGGAGATGAGAGCACTTTAGCAGGCACTGTAAGACCTTGTTAAGACCATTATGAATGCAATTTAAGACCTATTTAAGATCCATATTGGCAAAAAAAAATAGGAAAAGATATGTTTTGGTTTTGTTTTGTAGTTGTACGATCAATTCATTCATTTCCCCAAAAAATACAAAACGAAACTGAAAAAGGCAAACTTATAAAAGTCAGCCAATACATTTTTAAGACCTACTGGATTTAAGACTTTTTAGGACCCCGCAAACACCCTGATTTTGAGATAAGAATCAAGTGAACAATTCACATTACAGTAGTAAATGTGTACACAAAAGTTATCATTTACACTAAAGCTACCAAACCCCTTGGCCATTCCATGCCTGTATGACTGCTTTGCCGATGCTGTGATTGTGGCTGTGGCCATGGCTGTGCTTTGGTTGTTATAATTATGGCTGAGAAATGAGTTTATAATGGCCATAACAGTAACTACATGCAGGAGTTGTGTTTGTGCAGTGAGCTGACGTGGTTTGCTGGCTGAGTGTAGTATTAAAACTACTGTATTCCTGAACTCCTGTGGTGTATTGGTAACACATCTTTCATATCTGATAGAAACACAAGGCTTTCAACGCCTGTGTGTATTCACAATGCTTTCTTGGCTAATGTTAACAGGAGTAGTAAAGAGTAGTCACATTACAGCATAGCCAGATCCATAGTGTCATAGATTCAATCACAAATGCAAATAAACAATTCCCACCAAGACCCTTTGGTGAAATGTGTTTCCAAAGATTTAACGCTTTTTTTAAGATTTTACTGCCACATGCAAGGACACTCTCCGAATAGCAATAAAGAAAAAGATTCAATTAGGAGGTAACAGACTGCTCCACCAATTTTGCTGCACTTCTTTTAGGTTCAAATTGTCTTAGTTTTTAAAAATCAAACCATCAGACTCCTGAGTGAAGCTCCCTGTCTGAATCCAGTGCGGAATTTTGGTTGAAAGGTTACATCTGACACCAGTTCTGATCTGTGCCAGTGTGAGTGACTGACACCTGGAGTCTAGTTAAAGAGAGGTCTAAATGTTCCACCGATATGAAATCATCCAACACACACACACACACACACACACACACACACACACATAAACACACAAATATACACCATTCTAAACAAACACCCACACACATAAACAGAACAGATTCAGTACTCTAGGGGTTACAAAGTACAGAATGTGGTAATGCATTACACAACACAATAAGCACACACAGGTACACAAATAAAACCATGTTTTGAAAAGGATCAGGAAAAAGAATCCTCTTAGTCATTTCAAATTCCACTTAGAATGAAGACATCCTGACGCTTTAGTCATCATTAAATCAACACCACAGTGAGATGGAAATGTAATGAGAAATTATATGATTTATTGGTAGATTTTCCAGAACACTTTTACAACCCTCTCATTATTACTCATTTACCTGACGTCATGTCTGATACATTTACTGCAAACAAAGTTTTAACATCTGTTACTGATGTGGCATGTGAGAGAATAATCTTTCTTCAAAATATCATTAATTTACAACTCACCACTGCTCTGCAGTTCTGCTGGCAACTTGGCAAGGAAGAAAAATGGCTTTAGACCTTTGTCTTGTGTGTCAGATGCTAAATATCACATGAGGATTGCGGCTCTATCTATTACGGTCCTTTCATGTTTGAACAGTCATTATGGAACATCTCCCTAATGGAGACCTAAATGCCATTACTTTAACAGATAAATGAAACAGCAATGATACAGATTACTCGTCTGAACAGGGCTATATTCAGCCATACCCAGTCCAGACAATGACTGGGAGAAAAGTAAAATAAAGAGTTTGTCTTTTGTACTTGTTGTACAGAAATTATTCCACCTGTTTCTAGACATTAATGTCAGGTTGCTAAATAAACTAAAGCCCTAACTAAAAGAGCCACTACTAGAGTAGTACAGGCCCTCCACCCTCAGAGATGAGGGCCATGCCCATTAGAACCACATAGTCTAAGACATGTAGTCATACAGTCATGGAATCTGTTTAGGCCAGGCTGAGATGGCACGTTTGGTCATTAATTTAACCTCTTGGTCCAGCACGTCTGAGTGCATACACATCTCACACATAGTACCGTAACTACTTAGATTTTTATTTTTATTTATTTTTTGCTGTGCTGTAGTATTTGTATGAAAGCTTGTAAAACACACAAACTGTGAAGAAATATATTTCTTAAGTTGTGTTTGAATAACGGGATTTTTTTATGTGAATAAAATAACTTCAGCTACTGTGTTTGTTTCAGCTTTTTGAATTAAAGTTCCAGAGTAGATCAGGCCCCAGCTTGAATCCAAGTTGTGTGTGCGGTTCATGGAACACCCGTTTTCATCCACAGCCATTTTGCTGCATTTTCTGCATTGTCTGTGATGGTCATGATGGTTCTCGCCCTTTGAAATCATTTGTCATGCTGCAGAGAAGCTTTAAAGGGGAACTTGGCAACTTTTTCAGCTTAATAAACCCGTTTAGAAATCATTTGGATG